TAAACTTCATACTTTTGAAATATTTAGCTTTATTTTGAAAATCTTGCCCCATTCAAATGAATGGGGAAATTTTTGCTTCTGCATACTTTCAGCTATTCCAGCTATTAAAATGTCCAGCTCTTCAAGGACATTCATGCATCTCTTTAGAAGTTTCTAAACTTCATACGTTTAAAATATTGAGCTTTATTTTGAAAATCTCGCTCCATTCAAATGAATGGGAAAATTTTTCTTCAGCATAATTTCAGCTATCAAAATGTTCAGCTCTTCAAGGGCATTCATGGTTCTCTTTAGAAGTTTTCTAAACTTTCATACTTTTAAAACATTGAGCTTTATTTTGAAAATCTTGATCCATTCAAATGAATGGGAAAATTCTACTTCAGCACACTTTCAGCTATCAAAATGTTCAGCTCCTCAAGGACATTCATGCTTCTATTCAGAACTTTTGTAAACTTCATACTTTTGAAATATTTAGCTTTATTTTGAAAATTCTGCCCCATTCAAATGAATGGGGAAATTCTACTTCAGCATACTTTCAGATCTTTCAGCTATCAAAATGTTCAGCTCTTCAAGGACATTCATACTACTATTCAGGAGTTTTCTAAACTTCATACAATTTAAATATTCAGCTTTATTTTGAAAATCTTGCCCCATTCCATTGAATGGGAAAATTCCATTTCAGCATAATTTCAGCTATCAAAATGTTTGCTACAGATTTTTTCTAAACTTCATACCTTTGAAATATTTAGCTTTATTTTGAAAATCTTGCCCTATTCAAATGATTGGGAACCTTCTACTTTAGCGTAATTTCTGCTATTTCAGCTATCAAAATGTTCAGCTCTTCAAGGACATTCATACTACTATTCAGAAGTTTTCTAAACTTCATACATTTTAAATATTTAGCTTTATTTTGAAAATCTTGCCCCATTCAAATGAATGGGGAAATTCAACTTCAGCATACTTTCAGCTATTTCAGTTATCAAAATGTTCAGCTCTTCAAGGACATTCATACTACTATTCAGAAGTTTTCTAAACTTCATACATTTTAAATATTTAGCTTTATTTTGAAAATCTTGCCCCATTCAAATGAATGGGAAATTCCAACTTCAGCATAATTTCAGCTATCAAAATGTTTGCTACAGATTTTTTCTAAACTTCATACCTTTGAAATATTTAGCTTTATTTTGAAAATCTTGCCCCATTCAAATGAATGGGAAATTCCAACTTCAGCATAATTTCAGCTATCAAAAGCATTCAGGTGTCAAAATGTTCAGCATTTTCAGGGCGATCTTTCAGCACTCGGCATCCATACGCATTTTCTTCAGAAAATGCAATTTTCTAGTTATAATTATTTTTTGCAGTATTTCTGTTCCTGTGTCTTGCTTCAGGGGCTGCATCGGGTTGCACTGTGCAGACGCAGGCGACGTCACTTCCTCAAGCCCCACTCGCGGCATTATTTAGAAGACGACAACATACAAAGTTAAGTCTGACACAGAGAAAGATGACCAGCATGGACAGGATTAAGAATGATCACATCAGAGGGACAGCTCAGGTCAGCTGTTTTGGGGACAAGGTCAGAGAGGCCAGATTGATGGTTTGCACATGTGCAGAGGAGGGATAGTGGTTATATTGGTAAAAGGATGTTGGAGATGGATCTGCCAGGCAAGAGGTCAAGAGAAAGGCCAAAGAGGAGATATATGGATGTGCTAAAAGAGGACATGAAGTTAAATGGGGTGAGAGTAGAGGATGCCGAGGATAGAGTTAGGTGGAAACAGATGATTTGCTGTGGCAACCCCTAACGGGAACAGCCGAAAGAAGAAGAAGAGAAAGGGACCGATGGCCGGCCAGCCGGGGGGTTCATCTTTGGGAGAAAAAGAAGACACGGCATTTGGAAAAACTTTAATTACATAGAAGTAGAAAAGAAAACGGAATGTGTTGTGGAAAAATATGGGGAGAAGTGCGGCCACAAAATCACACAAAATGTGTACTGGATGTATTCTTGAGACTATAAGGTAACAATAATATAAGATAACCTTGTTTGAAATGGGTTTGGCTAAAAGAAACTTTTGATTTCGTCCATACTACTAGGTACTTATACTATAGGGTTAAATACTGTAGAACTGTATTACTAAAAAGAGACTAAAATACAATTCTCATTGACTAAAACTAGACAAAATGTCATCAGTTTTCGTCGACTAAAACTAGAATAGACTAAAAAGAGTATGAATGTGACTAAAACTATCCATCCATCCATCCATTTTCCTCCGCTTTGCTTCGTGACTAAAACTAATAAAAACTAAAATGACAGCTTCACACAAAGACTAGACTAAAACTAAAATTAAACAGGCCGCCAAAACAACTCTAGCTGTGGTCACATTATTGTGAAAAATCTGCTTGTGGGTGCACCTCCTCTGTTGTACTAGACAGTTAACTACAGCAGTTTAACAAAAGAAAAAAGGGCCACCGCTGCCCTCATGTACTGTATATGCACTCCTATGCACTACTTTTCTGTGGTGTCATTACCTTCTAACTCAGTGTGTAGCAGAGACCCTGATCCATCCAGGATGGTTCATCACTGGAGCAAAGAGCTAATTTAAACATGTTACACATGGGAAACCATGCTAATGTTGCAGAATGTGTGAAAGGGGCTTTAGGCCCTGGGTGCAAGATTTGTATTTTTAAAAAGCAGGTGAAGCTCCTTAACTTTGAGATTCCACTGTGATGTTAATAGTTTTAATACTGGAACAAAGTGTCTAGTGAAAGATAAACTCTGCTACGTCTTTGTAAACATGAACCATTTAGGTTATTCACATTTTACAACAGCAGCTCTCGCACAGTCTTTGCTAAAACATATACCAGAGTGGTAAGAGACAGTATACCTGGGATTTTTATGGCTGAACAACAATGCAAATTCCCCAGTTTCAAGAATTAAAGACTTTAATGGTTTAACCAGAATAAAATACTAATGACAATGTGGTTTTGTTCATGCTAGTGAAATGTATTGTCTTGCACAGTGGTACCACAGCTTGGCAAACAAAAAATAAAAGTAGTTAACATCTGAAAGTATGGATTAGCTTCATCTATGTGCGGTTTCTAAATCTGACAGGAGCCTTCTGAAGTCACAACGGGACTGATTTACACTTATTGTAAAAACACTAACATATACTTTATAGTATTTCAGTATGGAGTTGTACATGACTTTTGGTGTTTAGCTCCACCCACGCATGTTCAATAATGAACATGACAAATAATAAAAACATGCACTTCCTACTGGTTTCAGTAGTAACAGCAGTTATATATCACAGCAATACAAATGTAAATAAGCTAGTTGAATGCTATAATATAGACCTCTCAGTGCTTCTACCACACAGTGCATTCCTTTACTAGCAGTCTCTTGACTTGTTATTGCTGGTGCTATGTGTGCATGTGTGTGTGCACATGTGTCACCAGTGTAGATGTAAGTGGGGGTGTTGGTGTAACTGACAAAGTAATTCCTCTTCTGTTGGCTCCTGGATCTGCCCCCTGCAGAGAAAGGGAGGTGAGTCATGGAGAAAAGAGGATCGACTGGACGAGGAGTTAGCCAGAGCAGGACAGCTAGTTTTTTATGACTTAGAACAAAACAGCAGCGTCAACCTACTTGAACATGAATTGAAAAGAAGTTTCATATCTGATCTTCTCCACATCTGTGACAGAACAGCTGTGACTGCGGTCCCACTTGTAGATGAAGTTCTGTTTGAAAACAAGGAAGACGTGTGTTGTTAGCATGTTTAATATGTAGTTTACTCTGTAATAAAAGACAAGCTTGGGGTTTATCTACATGCTGATGTCAACGAGTCACAGAAGCCAGACATCACCTTCCGATTTCCCTACCCTGCCTGTGGTTGTCAGCCCACAGTCCATTATTTTCTGAAGATGCAAATCTTTAAAAATGGTTCTATAGCTGTGATCAGGAACACTGATGACACATGCAAGTTAATGGGGACTGTGCAGAGCACAGAGGCTAAGAGTAAATTTGTTGAGGATTGTTTAGGCATAATCACATTTACTTTCTAACCATCAAAAGTAGTAGCCATGTGTGTATGGGCCTTTTACATTAGCATGGTATGTTTTCCGAAAATACTGATTATTTAAAATCATAAACATTTTAGTGTTTTTAACACTGTAAAGACCCGTTGTGGACTTTATGAAAGCCCTCTTCTTAGTCTGTAGCTCTGATAAATGAATGTAACAGCTTGTGTTGTCTCAGTGAACTGACCTCTAAGATGAGCGCCACAAATACGTTGACCCACATGACGGAGGAGGTGAGCCACCAACACACAAAGTAGACTTTGGCCCACCTGGAAAAATAAAGTAAAAATAAAATACCCTTATCAGCATGATCATCAGCCTTAGCTGCTGCAAACTGTGTTGGCTTGTTTTGTTCTTACTCGGTGGTGTATCTGCTGTATGCTTCCATGAAGGCCTGCCAGTTGTTGACTATCATGACATCATACAGCAAAATGATAGATGCCTGGGGGGGCATCACAACAAGCAGATAATAAGCAGTGATACAAGAGACCACCACAAATAACTAAAACAAACAACAACAACAGTGAAGCGCGGCCTGCTCTTGTTACGCACAGCGAAGTCATCAAAATTGTTTGGCCAGTAGCCCAGCTGCTCATACGTGCCACACTCCGCGGTGACGTTCGAGGTGATGTTCCCCATGGAGGTATTGGAGAGCACACTGGGACACACACACACACACACACAAACACAGTATGCACATAGTAACACACAGTATGAGAAATGACTCACAAAAGCAGGAACTAAATAACCCACCATGTTACTTGCAGATAACATGCAGTGGCCTTTTTATCCTGTGTGATGGCGCCATACTTATTGTATATTTGGCAACTGATTAGTTTTAATGCAGTGTTAATCTAATCACACTTCAGCCTGTGCTGTGTGTGTGTGTGTGTGTGTGTGTGTGTGTGTGTTTGTGCTGGGACCCCTAAAAAGGACAAGAAGCTTTTCTTGCCAACACGAATTCTGCCCAGTTTGTAACAAACAAACTGAACCAGCAGGCTGCTACTGGACCTACTGTATTACATGTAGCCTGTTTCTTTATGTGTATCGGTCTATAACAGGCCTCCTTATTCTGCTCTACTTCCTGGATGAATAATTCTTATTCCACCACTTCAGAATCCTGCATTGCAGCACAGTGGGCTGGGGTCTTCCTGGCATTTTCTGTCTCTGCGAGTAGTAGATGTGACGATTCGCTGTGGCGACCCCTAAACGGGAAAAGCCGAAAGTGACTTTCTTTCTTTCTAATTCTCATGTTTAGCTGCACCGACCTGTACTTTCACTGGTTAAAGAAATAATTCAGAGTACTCCATCAATTTAGCATTGCACTCCTATAACATGATGGACAGTTTAAAAATGATAAAAATGAATGCAGGAGAACTTGACCTCTGACAGTTGATGTGCGTTGTGTTTTTACATTTCAATTTTGTCATCTGCAGACCCAACTTGACTCAAGTGAAATCATTTGAGGACTTTAACAGACTTCACATGCCAAATCTTTGTACTACGTCTTCATATATGCAGTACTATTCCCCAAAACCTGCAAACGCATACTGGTGTGGGAAAATCTGTTCCTCTCTAATTTGAAAATTCCAGCTAACTGATGTAATAGTTCAGAATTCAGGATCTCCAGTATTATGTGCAAGTAGCTGGTGAAAAACAAGGTTTGCAAAGTCATCAAAGTTATTCTAATGTGTCAAATACATACTCAGTCAATTTGTATATCTTCTGACATTTCTTAACACCGTAATTAAAAATGCTTTGAGCGTCAATATCGTGTGTTCTTACTTCAGAGGACTTCATACAGTACCTCATCTCTGGAGGAGGTTTAATGGCTCCTTCAAACAGCCAGATTCCAAACACAGCAAACACATAGTACACCACCTGCACAGAGAGCATGAACTAGGCATCAGTCTTTACCCACTTTTACCCTTTACATGTAAATTGGCCATAGGAACTGAGGAAAACAGGACAATAGTTTTTACCAGTATCCAAAGAGTTTAGAAAAGCTTTTAGGAGCCAAACGGGTTGGATATGGTCTCCTGCTGGACATGTCTAAGATAAAACTCTTGGACCCAACAATCACAGGTATCACAGGTCTGCAGTCACTCACCACCAATATCCCTGCAAAGGCTCGAAGGTTTTTCAACAAGTCCAGCAGTGTGCTTGCCACCAAAGCCATGAGCTGAGGAACAAGACGGAACATATGAGAGACAAGAAGGAACAGAAGGGACACATAAATGTGTTCCTGATGAGACGGCACTGAGACTTCATAATGACTAGATTTTGTTTGAGCATTTTTATTTCAAATGCTCCTTTTCAAAAGTCTAACTGTGATATTTATTCCATGCGCCTTTTAATCATAAATCTATGTTTCAGCTTTCAGATGCTGTGTCCTGAACTCAGTTGCCACGTTTAGCTAGTTAGCTCCTGTTAGCTTGAGCTGAATCAAACTGCTGGAATCCGCTGCTGTAGTCGGTGTCGCTAGCTAAGAGGTCATCATATAGCTTTATCTTTGACGGACCTCACTGTCACAAGAAAGAGTAAGTTGTGCTTGTCCCAGTAGTATGTATGATGTCTGTGAACTCTTGCCTGTTCTGATTTGATTTAACATTTTCTGACACAACATGTCTGTATGTTGACTGTTAAAGTTAAATGAGCTCAGCATCATCCTGCAGCTGACTGCTGTGCACCTTGATATCTGGGATGATGCGCAGGAAGCGGAAGACGATCAGCATGTTGACCAAACGAACCATCTCCCACATAGACATTATACCATGAGAGGACGGGTCCCTGTTGTGACACACACACACATACAAACAGAGTTTTAAACCCATGATAATATTCATGTATGGATAGGAAAAGGGATGTTTTGTGCTTCAACATCTGGAGCAATATATATACAACTATTACACAAAAATGTATAAAAAATATTTTTAAAAGAATGGAAGCTAATCCAAACCCACCATTCAGAAGGTGAAAGCCTGTAGGTGGCATAAATAGTGATCTGTAGGACCTAATGGGAAGAAACAAAAACACAAGTGTTGAATAATAAAAGTGATAAACAGTGGCAAATCAATGTTGAAAAAAAATTTGAAAAAAATCAACTGGACTAGATTTCTAGGTCAAGACGTTTCACCTCTCATCCAAGAGGCTTCATCAGTTCCGTGGCAAATCAATATTCAAATGACATCTCACTTCATACAAATCAGACAAAAATCAGTTCAGCTCTTAATTAATGCCTGCTTCAATTATTTTGCTTTCTAACAATCACTTTTTAGTTATGTATAAGCTTACATTTAATGCATGTTTTGTTTACTCATGACAACCAGCCCGTGTGTCTTCCTGCTCATCCTGTGTTGGATTTTCCCTGCAAAACTGGTGACATATATATAATCGTAGTAGCACCACTTTATGTTATGTCAGACAAATTTTACAACACTAGCAAACAGCAGAGTTAAGACATTTTCTTTAAAGAATTTGACATGCTGGGGAATATTCAGGTTACTTTCTTGCTGAAAGTTAGATGAGAAGATCAGTACTGCTATTTCTGAAGTCTGGCACACAACTCAAACCACAACATGTTGTTGTTATATTTCTTTTCTAGTAACTAAGAAAATAAGATAAAACATTCATCAGTGAGTTTTAGATGTGCTGGTAGACAGGCGTGGTTACCTTTGCCAAAAGCCAGACTAGTCCAGTCTCAATGCTAAGCTAAGCTAACACTTGTAAACTGCTGCGCAAGGCTGATCAAACTGCACCGAATGTGACAATTTTGTTAACACTGTAGATGAATCCTGTCCTAATCTTATACTATACTGTCCCATACAACTATAGGACACTACAGTATTCAAAATATGATAGGAAACATTAATAAAGTTTGTCCTGCCCTCAAAAAATAAATAAATAAATATTGTGGGCAGCAGGGCTCTGGAGTGGTGGGGTGTAATCTTACTAAATCTTGCCCTTGGTGTCATCTTTTCACATGTGGCTGGTATTATGGTAAGTATGAGTATAACTGAGATGTAGGAAGTACTCTGTTACCAAAAGCACAGTGGTGAGAAAGCCATCAAAGATGTTGTTTCTGTAGGAAAGATACCCTCTCCAGCCGAAGGCAAAGATCTTCACACACATTTCCAGCAGGTAGTACAAGATGAAGCACAGGTTGATGATCTGACAGTTGGACAGTGGAAGACTGAAATTAGTTCTTCACAGTGTTCATTTTATGCCACAAAAACCATTGGAGGGAAACAATTTACCTATTGATAACTGGTATTTTGTAAGACTTAAGGGGGGCTAGGCCCTAAAAAGAATACTTCCATGTTTGTTGTATGGGTCCAAAAATGCATATAGTCTAAATCCTTAATATTATTAATGATTGAAAACCAACACATTTACATTTAAAAACTGCAACACTGAGCTGGGGGAAAATTCAGGGATTTTGATCATGAACGCATTACGCAAATGTCATCGCAATGAATTCATTTGATTTTTTTTTATTTTATTTTTTGAGCACAAGGTGAGAGTTTGATCTAAATGCTCATAAAAAAAACAATCAGGATTCAGTATTCATTGTAAACGTCACAAGATCCACACCTGCATTTGACACTGACTGAGATATTTTGTCATTAGCCAAAATTAAAGTAGAATTTTGATGCTGATGCTAGAAGAAAGGAGTGGGGTCACCAGACTTATTGGGAATCGTCCTTTGAGGTCTGCGCTCACCTCCAAGATGAAGTTGTCTCTCTCCGCTATGGACTTTTCAGAGTTCAACACCAGGATGGTCTGAAACACAAATAACAAAGGTTATTTACAGTATGCTGGCCAGCTTGGTCACTACATCTGTGTGTGTGTGTGTGTGTGTGTGTGTGTGTGTGCAGCTTACACATATACACATGACATTGGCTAGTGCCACTGCGTTGCCAAGTATAGTGAGATAATAGTGACTGAAGATCTCCTGGAGTCTCTGTAGCACTGGAGAGTTGTACTGAGGCAAAGGAGGGTGCTGGGAGAAAGCATGAGCACAGAGTCACAAACGTAACACAGGTCATATTCAGATGTAATGGTGAGTGAATGGGGCACAGATTTACCTCCTTGATGCGCTCTTTATCCAGTTCATCAAATATATTCCTGAACTGCTCTCTGTTCATGTAGCCAACATCGACATACTGCTGCACCTCCTGACATGTTGGCAGTGCAGATGAGACAAGTTATTCGAAATGCTCCACAACGTTACAGCTTGTGACATTCCATAGTGGCATCATGCAGGTCATCGACATGTAATTTAAAGGGTGAGTTCACAATTTTTAGGTTTGTCTTAAAACAACGGCCAGACATTAACTCAGACTATGATGACTCCATGCTGTATCAACCCACATTACACTGAGGAACAAATTAGTTAAGAAGTGCACAAAGCTGAAGAAATAAAATCATCTTCTTTCACATTTTAACAATTTAATACTCAGCAAACATCAAATTAGCATAACTTTCACAGCAGAGATTTTAACATTACTGTAACAATGGCTCTGACGACATGAATAATACTAGGGCCCCGAAACTAAACTGGGATGGTGTGTAAAATCAAAATTGAAACTGAAAACAGTGACGTGTAAACTATCCGTGTCCTGCATTACATTGAAAACAACACAGCAGCACATTATTTGATGTCATACCTCATTCATTTTATTCTTTGTTCATAATAAACACTCACTTCAATCCTGATGCTGCAACACATTCCAAAAGTTGGGAAAATTGCATTTCAGGGCCAGTAATGAGTTAAAACAATGAAATGATTATTCCATTTGAACCAGGTGATGTCAACAGGTGACTGCATCATGATTTGGTACAAAAGTAGCATCCAGGAAAGGCCGAGTCCTTTAGGAGCAAAGATGGGCCGAGGACCACCAGTTTGACAACATATGTGTGAGAAAATTATTGAAATGTTTAAAAACAATGTTCCTCAGACAAAGATAGGAAGGGATTTGGATCCGTCACCTTCTACAGTGCCGAACATCATTAAAAGATTCAAGGAACCTGGAAGAATTTCTGTGTAAAGGACGAGGACCAAGCCTCAGCTGGATGACCGAACTCTCTGATCCCTCAGACGGCACCGCATCAAGAATCATCACTCTTCTATAAGCGATATAACCACATGGGCTCAGGATGACTTTGGCACACCTGTGTCAGCTACTACAATATGTACTGTAGTTACATCCAAAGACCAAAAGGACCATCCAGACTGTTACCAGCAACAAGTCCAAAAGCCAGGGTCTGTCATGGTCTGGGGTTGTGTCAGTGCCCTTGGCACTGTGATGAATCCATTAATGCTGAACACACATATAGATGTTAGAGCAACATCTGCTGCCTTCAAGACAACATCTTTTCCAGGGACGTCCATGCATATTTCAACAAGACAATGCAAAACTCACACTGCACATTACCAAGGCCTGGCTGTGGAGGAAAAGGGTGTGAGTGCTGGACTGGCCTGTCTGCAGTCCCCACCTGTCCCCATTAAAGATTGTGTGGTGGATTTTGAAATGCAAATTACGTCAACAAAGACCCAGGACTGTTGAACACCTTAAGACTTGTTTGCAGGAAGAATGGGACAAAATGACACCTGACACATTGAATCACTTGGTGTCCTTAGTCCCTAAACATCTTTTAGGCAGCATCACACCGTGGTAAATGCTTTACAGTGCCAACTTGTTTTGGAATGTGTTTCAGCATCAAAATTGAAGTGAGTGTTTATTTTGAACAAAGAATAAAATTGATGCTGTATCACATCAAATAATGTGCTGTTGTGTTGTTTTCAATGTAATACAGGACACAGATGATTTACACATCACTGTTTTCAGGTTTAATTTTCATCTTACATACCGTCCTAACTCTTTCTGGGGTTGTACATGGAATTCAACCATCATTAGAGTGGACATTTATGCCTGTACTTTTTTCTGCTGTGACAAGTCAAAATGTGTTCTGTGGTTGAGTGTTTGTGTAAAGTGTGTGTGTGTGTGTAGACTGAGGTTCGTGTTGGTTCTGACCTTAGTTATGGCTGCTCTATAGTAGCTCTTCATCTTGACTGTGGACAGCACCTCCAGCACCACATCAGCACGGACACGCTCCCTGACAGAGAAAACAATTCAACTGAGATCCTGCAGGTGTGTGATACACAACAAACATGAAATATTGTCATATATGTGACACAAAATGTGTTAAATCTTTATTGAAAACTGTCTGGAAAATAACTGATTTTGTGCAATCAAAAAATGTTGATGAATTGTATGTTACTGGTTATAATTCAACCACAAATCATGTTGTACTAAAACTTTGCTGATGTGGAAATACCAGTGGTGAAAGAAGTACTCAAACTGTTTGCTTAAGTAAAAGTAACAATACCACTGTGTAAAAATACTTTCTTACAAGTAAAGTCCTGCATTCATAATGTTACTTAAGCAGAAGTGCAAGTACAGGCATCAAAAAGTAAAAGTACTCATTATGCAGAATAGTTCATTTCACATTAATATATATTAAATACTGGATTATAACCACTGATACATTATTGTGTACATCACATTTATGTTAGGCCCACTGCCTGTACGCCCTCTACTTCCCAGCAGGCTGGGAGACGAACTGCATGGCTGCCTCCAATCAGCTAATTAAGCAGCCTCTACTTCACCTGAATGCTGCCGGTGTGTCCTGTGCTTTACTACACATGCAGTGGCCAACCTTCTTGCTGCTATCGATCGCACCTATTTCCCACCTGTCATGTGCTGACAAGCTTGTTGTCCTGCTCACTTGTGTGTTCCTGTCCTTACCTGAGTTGTCTCCAGTCCTGCTCCAGCCTTACTCACCTGCGTTTTCCTCGTCACCCAACTGACCAGACCCGACCCTGTCTGACTGAGTGAACTCATTCCTCATACCTGCAGTCAGTCCCTTGCCTTATTTGTTGTTTATTTATATTGTTTATTTAATAAATATAATTTTGCACCTTGATTCTGAGTCCTCCATTTTGTCCTGAGTATGACCGACCGGCCCTGACAGATTAGGTTTACAAAATAAAATTCAGAGATAAACGCTGCAAAAGAACATTCATTCTCACAATTCAACATAGTTTGGGTCGTTATTCCATAGCCAGGCGTAGCGTAAATACAAACAGGCCAGCTATTATCTATTAATTTACATGCAATCACATGTTATCCAGCACAGTGGAAATGTCCAAAACTGTATGAAGCACACATAAAACTAAAAAAAAAAGTTTAAAATATTGTTTTCATGCTTAATGGATAATAGAAACACTTTGGAAAAATTCCTGACATGGGTTTTTATACCTCATGCATGAAAGGGATAATGTACTTCTCAAAGTTACTTAGCAAAGTCTGACAGTAGAGAACTGTTGCAGTATATTCTATTTACGGTACATATGATTCTATTGTAGTGTATGAAAAGCTGCAGATGCCTTTTTACAACTCACTGTATTCAATGAGAATAAAAATAGCTGCACAGCCTGTGTCCAGTAAAAAAAAAACAACAACTCCCAAATCACTTTGCAGGGATGTTTAAAGTTACCAGTAAGCATGAAGCTGATTTTAGCTTCTAGGTCACTGCTACTTCTACTGTCATGCCAAATGTTTTTCAGAAATGTATGCCATTGAAAGGATATTTGATCACATTTCAAGTTAATCCATTATCTGTTACTATTACATGACTGATATACTGTATATATAATGTGGCTATGGAGCTTATCAACATATGTAGAAACCTGTTTTCTGATTTTCCCATCCTACTGTCCCCATTCAAAAGAATTCATATAACAGAAATACAAAAGAAAAGGTTGTTAAGAGGAGACACAATGCTTTAACAGGTGTGTCTGTGTGGCAAGATTTGGAAATACTGAAATCCTGCATGTTTAAACATGGATGTGTTTCTTACACAGCAGCCGCTACAGCTTCCTGGCAGCTGAGGACTTGGAAAGCAGCTCGGATCCCCAGTCGCCTCCTGATGATGGACGCTTGAACTGACATCTGGACCAAAATATGAACAGAAAGACTGACTGTAGACTTCGATATGCTTATTGTGTAAATCCGTAGAACCTTTTCTTTATTCCCTCCGTGCTTGGTCTTTAAGCTTCACTGTTAAGGGTTTCTGAAGGTACCCGCAAAAACACAGAGGCTGACAGCATGCCCTTAAAACTCTGAATCACTGATCGTGCACACTGTCATCAAACTCTGAGGAAGTCAATTACAACAGAGGAACTGCTTTTAGTATACAGTAAAAGAGTGTCATCTGTCTCACGAGTTCTACTATGCTTTTATTTCATTGCTTAGTTTTCCATTTTCTGTGTTAACATATTAATTCATAAAATAGGCCTGAAAAAGTTGGATATAACATGTAGAATTTATAGTGCCTTTTAATTGATCCTGGATAGATAATAATTAATTTAAATTTGTAATATTTCTGTATAGACTGTCAAATTGTTATAATCCAGTTCAACCAGTAGATGGAAGTCACGGCTAATCAGTGTGTTCCACAGGTAAACTGGTGGACAGGGAGTCATGGGATATATTAGGTTATTTACAAGTATAAGTAACCACAAAGTAACTGTAGACCGTTTCGTTATAACCAATTCACATTCTTTTTGACCATTTTTGGTTTTGATGTATTTTTTCAGCCACACCAGAGGTAAACTGGTTTCTTTTTAAAACTTGCTAATAGTTGTGTGAACCAGAGTGAACATCAAGACAGATTTAATTTGGACATTATATTTGCCTGGTGATGCAAAACTAAACTGTTACTTTGACCAACATTTAATGCAGACTTGATGTTCAACAGGTTTCAAAAGTCTCCCACATTATAGAGGGATGAACAGAAACCAATGATCTCTATATGTAGAAAAAATCCATTAAAACTTCTCAAACACGGTAAAATGTCCTGCAGTACCCATGATTTGTAATAAATGTACTAAACCATACAATACTAGTATGGTCCTTTAAAAAAGCAGGGAATAGAAATATTAGAAGAATGTCTGTCCTGGTGTTAATACACGTTTCTGTTCTCACCAGTGAGATGGTTCAGGTCACCCTTCAGCCTGGCCATCCTTCAGCTAAAGCTCTGGTACATTCACCCTGCTTCATTTAGAATGATTTGTTCTGTACCCACTCTGATGACTTGTGTAACTGTGGCTCAACATGTGATAACAGGCTAATGAGCTTAGGTTAAGCATAAACACATCATTACCCAGTGCTAGGTGTATGCTGTGACATGCAGTATGAAATGACTATCACATGATTCCTCCTGACTGTCTCCTGTAGTCAAGGCTTGGTCTTGGTCCCCTTCCAAAGCACAACTCATAGTTCTACTGACACACCTGATTTTCCTCCTGGAAACTGTCACAATTTGTTTAACTAAAAAAAAAAAAAAAAAAAAAAAAAAAAAAAAAAAAAAAAAAAAAAAAAAAAAAAAAAAAAAAAAAAAAAAAATCCCAGATACAGGCTCAAAAACCGATTCACCCACTGTGCTCCGTGGCCACCAGTAGAAGACTCTGTGGCTTCCAGCAGCTGCAAGGTAATTTGTAGGATAATATGCTTCTCAGCAGCGTGGTCGTGTGACTCACCAGTAAATATCCCCTGAACTGGTTATAGATGATGGCTGTCAGTAAGTTCATCAGGCAGTACGTTCCTGTCAGGAGGAAAAACATTCTACTCAAACTCATTTTGCTCAACTTCATTTTGTTTTGACACAGTGCTCTACTGTCACCTTGGGCCACTAAAGCTGCTGTGCTGCCAGAGCCCATAGCAATCTTTGCTTACCAATTACACTGAAGGCGACGAAGAAGATGGAATAGCCTCTGTGCAAGGAGTAGGCAGGGATCATCACTGGAGAAAGACAAGATGACCAGACTTCAGTCACAGAGACAGTTAGCAGTAATCAACAAACATGGCTGGCTTTTCATGTGATCAGCTGTGTACCATCTGGGTTGTTGGCTGTGGTGAGCAGCACCAGCAGAGAGGTGAGGGAATTAGGCAGGTTTCTGAAATGTAACTCCCACTCGCTGTTCTTCTGTGGATCCTGAACAGAAACACAGAGGTGAAATGCAGAGGTGACAGGATGAACTTATCCTACTGGACTCCACTGTATAATATAATAGTGGCTTTTCTAATAATACATATCAAACATTTGGTTCTGCTGGATTTTCTTATTCTTATATACTGGCTTTTGACTTTCTGGGCTGTTGTCCAGATTAAGTAAAGTGTCTAAAGAAAGACACAACCCTGATGTCAGAGAAGTCATAACAGGCACTTTTGTTTTGACATTTGATAGACAGAAGCCATTTAGGCTTCCTGAATAATCGTCATATCACTTTACACAGTAAACTGATAATGAAAACAGTCAGCGGTTTGTAAGCAAGGTTTGTCTTGTAGAACAGCAAGCTGGGGACGTCACCTCTACACTTGCTGTTGTTGTACTATCTTTTGCAATGCACTACAGTCAATGGGTTTGATGAGGTTAATTTGTAAACATTTAAAAATCTACAGGTCCCATGAAATGCTTTATCGCGTCTCTGCACATACCTCAGACCGGCAGGACACAGTGCAGCTGTGCATTAACACAACTGTGGCACACTAATGAGTATTTAGGGCACCAGGATGGTGTGTGCGCTGATGGCCCTACATGTTTCGGGAGATTGCAAGCAGTTGGCTACATCTGCACCTTCAGGCCTGAGCCTGCATTCGATGACATTATGCGCCAATGTCAAGTACTGCATTTGCAACAGTGTTTGTTTTGCATTCTGTTGTACATTATTACTGTATCACTGTGGATTCCACTTCTTGGTTTGGTAATGTATCAGACATATTTAAATGGCTTCATATATTTTGTTCCTTCAGACCTCCGTCCTCCACCGTCGACTGAAGTAAAGCTTTTTGGGTCTTGTTTTACGCGTATTTGACAGCTTTTTGTTTCACCTTTTTTTAAATTAACTCTTGCTTTTATTTTTGCACTATTGTGACAGTAACCCTTGACTGTTCACACACCCATCAGCACAAGTGTGAGCAGTACAGTACAGTGGTGTATATTAAACAGGATGGGACCACAACGACCAGGCCTCACCTCGGTTTTAGCAAACAGCAGCATGCCGATCATGGTGAAGAGGCAGAGGTGAAGCGCTAGCAGCAGGATGACACTGCAGACACAGGAGAACACACACACACACACTCAGGGTGGGGTGGAAAAGCCTGGGGAATCGGTAAGGAACCTAAGGTTGTTGAATAGAACACTATAGGTCAAACTGAAATGTTTAATGTGGTCTATGCTAAGTGTCAAGCTTGGTTCACAGTTAGAGGACAGCGGTAGTGTATTCAGTATATCATCATCAGGCTGTGGCTTCATTATGGGGAAGCAGAGACCCAGTGAGAGAAGTGAGAGTGCTCTGAAGTCACTGGTGGCTTTTGATTTGTTGAGAGGTGAAATAACATTGAAGAGAGTGGAGCCAACTGCAGGTTTCACTGTGGTCTGGCTCATTAAACTGAGAAGAGTTCAGTTCTGGGCTCCCCCCAACACTAGTGATGGGTAATGTAACTAATTATCCTTTTGCTGTTGAACAATTAGTAATGTAATGCAATTACTATTACTATTACTCAGTCGGTAATAAGAAATGAACAGCTGAAGTAACTTGCCCAGCATGCTTACTGAACCAGGTGGCTGACTTTATGACGTACCACACTGAGTTTTAGCATGTAGCATGATTCTGGCCATCTAACTCACTTCCAATTTGAAAACATTCTTATGTTCAAAATAAACTGCTTGACCTATTTTGCATAAATTGACCATAAACAAGGCAGAAAAGATCCCCTTAAATGAGCAGAGTCTAGATAGGCCTGTCAGTGTAAGGGTGTCAGATACCTGGCAATCTCTGGCAGAGTCCTCTTGATGCACTTTAGTGTCTTTTTCATTAGGGAGGAGTTCTGCAGGAGAAAGAATGGCCGGAGGAGCCGCCGTACTCTCAGTTTCTGGTTATCAATGATAAGACAAGATGTTTTTGAAACACAGGGTGACATGGGACTCACACGTGATTCACAGGAACTCACTGGGCCCTGAGCACAACATGGTCAGAAAGCATGAGAGAGGCCAGTCTCACCTCATCACACACCATGCTGACAGACAAGACCCAGTCGATAATGGAGACTGAAATGATGACAGAGTAGCCAATCAGCCATTTGCTCTTCCTGAATTCCTCCCAACCAATCAAGTAGCTCTGAGGACATAACAAATCTAGTGAATCAGTGGTTCAACAGGACAAATACATGGGAAATAACAATAAAAGCAGGGACACATTTGGCAAATTCCATGTCAAAACCATTTTTAAATCAGACAGCATCTAATGTTCTGGTGCTTTCCACCCTGCCCATGTTTACCTTGACAGCAAGGTCAAGAGAGAAGATAATGAGGCAGACCATCTCGATGCTCTCAGTATAGCCGCAGGGAGGCTCCCAGGGTGCAGAGCGATGTCGGGGATCCGAGGAGGCAGACAGAGAGGATGGACGCTCTATAAAGGCCAGCAACAACACCACTGCGATGGTGAGACCCAAGCTCCTGAGACAGGAAAAGATGTTCAGTGGATGGACAAACAGATGTTCACATGATCCAGAAGACACTCATGTGGTGTTTGGTGAGAAGATACTACTCTTATGTCTTGATGCTAAATATAACAGCAACCTGCAGAGACACCAGGTCACTGGTCAATATAATTCCAGCACATAGTGCCCCATAAAACTGCAACTTGTGTTTTTCACCTTTTATGAACAGGTTGATTAGTGAGCTTTGGTGCTGGTAGGCAGATTTCTAATTTAGCTAGGCTAACTGTCGCCCACTTTTCAATAGTTAGCCTGCTAAGCTGGGCTAAATGCTTCTTGACTCTAGCCCCATATTTAATGGACAGGTGGAGTCATATAGGTTGTCTCATTTAACTTTTGCCAAGAAGGAGTATTTGCATTTCCCAAAATGTTGAACTGTCCCTTTAAGAACACTAGTGAACTTTCAGTATAGATTCAGTCCTGTGCAGCCTTTTCATGATCCTCTTTTAAATGGCCATAAAAGTGAACCTGATCATGGGCAGTGGTCTATCTGGCATGGTCAAGCGCTCCAGCAGGGACAAAACCAGGGAGCTGGAACTGCTAAATCTAAATGGAACGCCACCATTATTAATAACACTAACTACATCCATGCTTTTCCTGCTATGATATGTCAAAAAGTACACTGTGAAAAAGGCCTTTTGGGAGTTTTGATGGGTGATAAGTCAGAGAGAGCGATCATGTTCTTGTCACTTCACTAACATCTACCTGTGAGGAGGAAGGTGACAACTGTTGAGCTGGGTGTGTTTTGATGCCAAAACAAGTGTGAATTTACCACTGGCATAGTCTGGAGTAGTACCATCGATACAGGCGGAGAGAGCTGGCGTCCACCCGGTGGTTGATGGAGCGGTACTACAAGCAAGCAAATCAACTTTATTTTTAGAACTTTCTAAAACTAATCTTTTTAGATTAGACAGATAACAAATGATAAGCAAAAAGAATTTTTTAAAAACAACAATACAAGAATAACCATTATATTTCTCTAATTCTCTATCCCTCTATCCCTATGTACATGGGAATACAGTAAATAACTATCCATGTTCATAATATTACATGTTCAAAAGGGAGTATGAAGAAGTGTACACTTATCTGCTCCTGTCCCTTTTCTATATTCCCTCATCTATCAACCTCAAAATTTCATATATTTAAAATTGTGCTATATTATAAAATTGTTATGATGGTTGAAACAAGAGAGAAAGAGAAGATGTGTCGGAAAAATCAAGACGACAAAAAGTAAACCCTTTGAAAAGCCATGGAAAATGCAGCATACCTAAAATGTGCATTGGTTTCTCTGAGACTTCTTTGAAGGCTTTGTCAGATTCACCTTTTCTGATGCCTCAACACACAGCGAATTAAGATCAGCTACCTAGCAGCACTGTTTTGTTTCCAAATTTGAAACCTGTAAACCTCAGTGCATGAAAATCATTTGGAACATTTTTACATGAGTACAAATTGTTGCATGCAGCTACAGATGAAAGTAACTGCTAGCAGGAGACAGGCTGAATTTTTATAGTATTTAATGTGGATCAGTCATGTCATTACCATAGGCATTTTATCAGTGCACCCTTCTGCCAGATCTGAGCCAGAGGTCCCTGTCCTTCTGCTCCATAACTTCAAAGGTGCCTGCCCTCATGATGCCTTATATGTCCAGAGCAAAATCAGGAAAGCAATCCAAATAGTGACAAAGAGCTAGTGGAGAAAAAGGCTCACTGCAGACCTGAGGCAGACATTACAGCAGCTGAGCTGTGATAGAATAAAGTAATAATACTTTTTTTTTTTTCAAATTTTTAGGCTGAGGGAAACGTGGCGCTTTTACCGAAGGATTGAAGCATAAATCTCACATGTATACGTCATACCACACCAAGGACTCTGCACACTATCACCTGCAGAAATGTTCTGATGACTCAGCTTTTGATGGATGCAGGGTGCATACAGGACTGTGCCCCAGGACTTTGCTCAGTGGTGTCAGAGGAATGGCCTGCAGCTCAATACGAGGGAGACCAGGGAACTGACAGTAGACTTTCACAGGAAAAAACATGCCCCAACCAGATTGGGAAACAACCAGGGAATGGAGCCCACACACACCTGGGTTTTTAACCCAACACAGACTACACCACTGCCCTTTACGAAAAAGGTCACCATCAACTCAGCCTGCTGAGGATACTCAAACCTCTTGGCGTGCACAGGACACTGCTCCAGCTGTTCTACAACTCGTTGGTGGCATCAGCCGCCCTCTGTTCTGCTCTGCTGGGCCAGAGAGAGACTGGACTCCCTGATCAGGAAGGCTCTGTCCTGGGCTGCACTCTGTTGTCACAGCCCTTGCAGGACACCCTGGGAGCCCTGAGCAGCCCCTTCAACAACTGACTGCACTACCCGCGCCATGTGAAGAAGCGCTACTGCTGCCATCAGACTGCACAGCCCAGCCGATAGCATTGCTCCAAGCAACCACAATTAACCCAGTGACTACAGATTCAGTGCACAACCTAAAGACACTGGTCACTTTGTCCTTGTCGCCTCACACTCGCCGCTGTCTCACACACGCTTTACTATTCTGTACATATTCCAGGTTATTATGAATATTTCCATTTCTATGGTGATCATTTTAATCCAAAGCACAATACAGTAATGTCAATTCATGAAGGAGGGTGAGTATGAAGGACATACAAAAGTTCTGTTGGCATTATATTAATGCCTTTGTATGTTCAACGACCTTTTCTTTACCAAAAGACAAGTAAGGAAAACCCTTGTACTTACCTGTATGGCGTCCTCAATGAATACAGCAGCTTGTTGGACATAGAGGTCCCCATTATCTGTGGAGAGTAGGACACATCAGATTAGCAGGGCCCTCAGAACTGTTCCTTTGCCCCTAAAAAACGTAAACATCTTCATATGTCCCGGAGATTCCGAGCGTTGTGATCGTCACAGTCCTGAACCACATTCACTGACATGGCTTTGTACAACAGAGTGCACAGAACAGGCTCTCTGGCTAAAACAAACGACACTGTCTCTGAGATGTTATTGCCTGTAGAACTGGGTGGAGATAGGAAGGCGTCTTTTTAGGCAAAACTGGTGAAAGCAGACAGGGTATCATGACGCTGTGGTGAAGATGTAGCCTACTTTTTTCTTGTACAGTAGTTTTTCTCAAACTGAAAAACCAAAACTACTCACACAAATAAACCCGTGATCATTCTGCTGTGGACATGTAAAGTTTGTTCTCAGCGTAGCACTGGAGGAAAGCTTTAATATTTCATGAATACAAGTGAAAATTTGGCCAGATTATGGAGCAAGAGGAAAGGTCACTTTTTGTAAATACTAATATTGACAGGAGGGTTGTAGTAAGGAGCCAAAGAAGAGAAAATATGTAGTGTCAAATGAATTATAACTCTTTATTCACATTATGTGGAGAGTGGAAAACTACAGCACCTACAGCAACAGCAGTGACAAAGTTGACATTCAAGTATATTTGCATTTGTCTTTTAGAGGAAGAAAAAGAACTTTATGGTCATTATATGATAAACATAAAATGAAATTGCAGTCTCTCTCTGTGGTGCAAAAGCTGCAGCTTCAACAACAAATGCAAAAAATAAAAATGTGTCGGACATACCGCTTAGAAATAAGGCCAAAAAGTTCTATCTTGGTCTCATCAGACCAAAGAATCTTATTTCTCACAATCTTGGAGTCCTTCATGTGTTTTTTAGCAAACTCCATGCGGGCTTTCGTGTGTCTTGCACTGAGGAGAGGCTTCCGTCAGGCCACTCTGCCATAAAGCCCCGACTGGTGGAGGGCTGCAGTGATGGTTGACTTTCTACAACTTTCTCCCATCTCCCAACTGCATCTCTGGAGCTCAGCCACAGTCATCTTTGGGTTCTTCTGTACCTCTCTCACCAAGGCTCTTCTCCCCCGATAGCTCAGTTTGGCCGGACGGCCAGCTCTAGGAACTGTTCTGGTCGTCCCAAACATCTTCCATTTAAGGATTATGGAGGCCACTGTGCTCTTAGGAACCTTAAGTGCAGCAGAAATTTTTTTGTAACCTTGGCCAGATCTGTGCCGTGCCACAATTCTGTCTCTGAGCTCTTCAGGCAGTTCCTTTGACCTCATGATTCTCATTTGCTCTGACATGCACTGTGAGCTGTAGGGTCTTATATAGACAGGTGCGTGGCTTTCCTAATCACGTCCAATCAGTATAATCAAACACAGCTGGACTCAAATGAAGGTGTAGAACCATCTCAGGGATGATCAGAAGAAATGGACAGCACCTAAGTTAAATATATGAGTGTCACAGCAAAGGGTCTGAATACTTATGACCATGTGATATTTCAGTTTTTCTTTTTTAATAAATCTGCAAAAATGTCAAAAATTCTGTGTTTTTCTGTCAATATGGGGTGCTGTGTGTACATTAATGAGGAAAAAAATGAACTTAAATGATTTTAGCATATGGCTGCAATATAACAAAGAGTGAAAAATTTAAGGGGGTCTGAATACTTTCCGTACCCACTGTATATGTACAGTGTAACCAGCCCATGGTAAAATACAACACTACCGAACTACACACTCTTCAAAAAGAGCTGCTTGCTCAGTAGTACTGATGTCAAATCAAATCAAATTTTATTTGTATAGCGCCAAATCACAACAAAAGTCATCTCAGGAACTTTACAAAGTAAGGTCTAGACCTTACTGTTATCACTATTATTACAGAGGGAAAACCCAACAAATCCCCCTTGAGAAAGCTCTTGGCAACAGTGGGGAGGAAAAACTCCCTTTAACGCAAGAAACCTCCGACAGACCCCGGCTCTTGGTGGGCGGCCTTCTGCCTCGACCGGTTGGGGTGAGTGGATAGAGGAGAGAGAAAAGAAGAAAAGCAACAAGACTAGAGCTCCAGGGCCAGGGCAACCTGCAGAAAGGTACAGAGAGAGAGAGAGGACACACTACGGGAGAGAGGAAACACAAAGTTAGTGATGTGTAGTGGTGGCATATACAGTAGAAGCATGGAGACAGAGGAGAGGAGAGGGGAGGGGAGGAGAGAAACTCAGAGCATCATGGGGTCCCCCAGCAGCCTAGGCCTATAGCAGCATAACTAAGGGAAGG